GAGTGCCACTCCACAGAAGAGCCTGGTGTTCCTCAACTTCCCAGAGGTCTGCTGCTGGCTGGACAGATGTCAGCCAGGAATGGCACCCACGCTTTCCAGGACCCAGAAGGGTGAACCCAGTACACAGTACACAGTACTTCACCCACTTTGGGCCCTACTTGGCCCGTGTTCCCATCTACAGGCTTGAGGGCAGCCCAGAGAGACTAGACAAGGGAACTCAGGTCCTTGCTAATATAGCACAGGAGAGATGGCAGCTTCGGAGCAAAGAGCAAGGGTCCCCAGTGTTACCAGGACCCAGTCACCAGGCCTGAGGGTACCCTAGCAAGCGCACCAGTGGGGAGGGGGGTGGGAGGAGATACCTAACTCGTCCCAGTTCTGAGGATGGCACCTGGCCCTATGTCCCCTTGGTAGACTTGGGCTGTGTCGATGTTTATCTTTCACCTGCCCTATCCTGAGGTCCCTCATGCTGGCTCAGTAACAGGAGACACAGGAGTGGAGGTGACATTTTTTTCTCCTCTGTTCTCTTCTCTACAGTTGTTGATAAGCAGAGCAAAACAGCCCGCACCGTGCCGCACCCTGCACAAAGTCCTTCCGTTAGCAGGACTCTACCCCAGGTGGGTAACCTGGACTCCACGGCCGTCCGAGCTCTCCCTACCCTCAGTGGCTTCTACAGCCCACGCCCCACACCTGCCTCAGCTTCCCCTTTCCCGCCCTCCAATCAGGAGAAAGAGAAAGAAAAGAAAAACTCAGAAACCTGAAGAATGTTTGGAATTTATTCTCTTAAGTAAGAATATAACATTTGTTAAAAAGAAAAAAAAAAAAGAAAAGAAAAAGAAAAACAAAAAAACCTTAAAGCACAACACCTTGGTTTCACAGTAATGGCAAAAACAAACTTACACAATTAAATAAAAAACTCACAAAGCAACACACCAAAAAACTCACAATAGCACAGATTAAAAACAAGGGCAAATGAAAAGCTTTAGGGAAGGTCAGAGTGGACAGACAAAGTGTTCCTTGGCACAGCTAGTCCTCCACTGGCTTCTATGTACCAAAGTTTTGGGCATTTGTTTCTGCCCCTCTCCTGCTTCACCCCAAGGGAATACTAGGGTGATTAAAAGTGAACCCCTTACTTCACTGGCCAGTATTCAGTGGGCACAGAGGGCCTAAGAGGGTCCCATTGTCCTGGAGGAAGCAGCCAGGCACAGTAAACACTAAAAGACAGTGGGTAGCTTTGATGGCTACGGCAAACCAACGGAGCCCACAGGTTGACTTGAGAGAAAGCAGGTGTCTGTGATGCTCTGGTCCTCCCCCCCACCACCACCAGGAAGACTATCGCTTTGCTGACTAGGAAAACTGATTACCTGAGTTTGGCGGGGGGTGTGTGCCACCCACCTTCTCGGAGACCCAGCCCCACATCTACGCCTCCACAGAAGGCCATGCCTAGCTGCTGGGTTCCCCTGGAATCCTGACCGGGCCTGGGTCAAGCCTGGGCAAGCTTCCACAGAGAGTCCCTATGGCTTTCAGATCAAGCAGCTTTAAAAATGTCTCACTGGTACCATTTAGGGCATACTGTGGTGTCTATATATACACACACCTATACACTGAACTCAAACCTGTACACATATAGATACACAAATAGTATACACATATGGAGAGGTGTGCACGCACAAACGCTCATAGGGTACCGCTGCGCAGCTTTGGCTCTAGTAGGAGGGTTGGGATGCAGGCAGCATGGTGGCTGCTCCACAGTGCTCCCTTAGCTGGGGTTTACAGCAGGCTTAGAAGGGAAGAGGCCCTGGGAAGCCATGCGAGGATCCCTCACCTCCTCGTCAGACAGAGGCCCAGGGATGAGCGGCATTCTTTGTAGCCTGTAGCTATTCTCAGGGGTACGGGCAAAGTGCGGGCAATCCCTTTGTTTCCTAACAGTGCCAGCCGGTACCATGTAAGGAGTGTCTGGGGTCAGGGAAAAGGCCAGTGCCACTCCTAAACTACAGCTTCTCCAGGAAAGACGTTTCCTCGCCAGATGCCTGGGGAGTGCTTGCTCTCCGCTGTCTGCACTGCAAATGCTCCTGATACTGCGTACTGGGAGGAAAGCTCTCCTCTCCCCTTCCCACCCAAACGTCTTGTGCTTCACTTTTGTTTCTGCATAACCGGGTTAAAGGAACCACTTGCAACCAAGGGCTCATGTCCAAAGAGGACAGCCATCCCATCTATGGTTTTTCTTTGCCTGCTTTCCAGACTTTTCCTAAACTCCAGGCAGGTACCCTGAGGCCAGGGTAAGGAAATCTGTGCCAGGCCCACTGATCCGTACCAGTTAAGAAGAGGTGGCTTGGAAACAAAGCATTTACAGGTTTGAGAACAAAAAGAGGAGTTCTATATTAAAAGCACATTACAAACAAAAAGACCGTAAACAGTGTCTGAAACAGTGGGTCAGGCGGCAGCTGCAGACGAGGTTACCAGAGGAAGACAATGTGTTAAACCAGGCCTACAAGGGGTTATGGTGGGTTATATTTTCATTTGGGGGTATTTCTGTTGCTGTTATTTTGCTTTTGCAACAGCACTAATTCTTGCCTAAGGGGAAAGAGCAGAAGGGAGAAGAGCGAAGAGCTATGAAATGAGGAAGGTGCAGGGCCGGTGGCCACAGCCTGGCTCTTCCTGCTCCTCCTCCACAGAGGGTCCCAGGGAGCATGGGCCAATCACATGTGACAAAATTAGAACCGGTTAATAAGCCTTCTGGAAGCCTGAGGTACTGGGTTTTGTCTGAAGCTTTCTGGAGGGAGTTTAGTCCAGTGCTCAAAACTAATGTGGGATTTGAGAAAAAGGAATTTCTACCAAGGAAGAGACAGAAACCTATTTCATGGCACCTATAAAATGTCAGTCATAATCTACTCCACCACCCTGCATTTGAGTGGCTAGGAAAGGTTAGCTCAAGGGCAAGTGTCAGGGCTTTGAGCATGTTCACGACCTGGTTTCCTAGTGTAGGGGGTCCCTTGGTCTAGGGTTTAGTGCCAGCCTCACACCATTTTGACACTCAGCCTGGGATAATTTGGGGTGCCAAATCTTGACCCTCTCTTGCTGTTCTGAAAGCCTAAGCTGTTCTAGCTTGGGTCCTTTCTTGATTATTTTGATTCTTTAACCACATGGCAAATCCATTTTCTCAGTGGCTACAGAACATTCTTCTCCTTATCTATGGAACCCTTAATTCTTGAGAATGTCTAAAAACCTGAAGCCTATTAGCTTTCCTTAGATAGGCAGAGAGGCAAAATGAACAGAGAGAGTTAGCAAAATAGCCGATAATTCTTTTTAAAAAGAATGTTCTTATACTTTTTACCCATAGGGAAAGTGGAACTTTTTTGATCAAGTCGTCTGGCTCTTTGGCAAAGCTATGAGGTGGGGCCCTCCCCTGATCGCTTGTACATTCCAGTGTAAAGCCAAAGTCGTGCCCAGGGCCAGGATACTTTTGCTCCGCCAGTGTATGCTCTGGGAGTGTCAACGAGTGAGAAATACTACCGAGGGTTTGGCAGACTTCATTGGGCTTAAAGTCACTCATGGCTTGGGCATATTATAAACTGAGTCCAACCAGCAGGGGACCCCATGCTGACTATAAGAAGGGAACGGACAAGTAGTGGCAGTTGTGTCCACAGGGCCTGGCTGGGGTTTCTGTGCCTTGGAGCCTTAGCATACCCTACCCCCACAGTGCTCCTGCCAAGCCCCAGGCACATTCTCCCTCCTCTGGCACACATGCCCTAGGGCCCTGTCAGCCAGCTCCTGACTTCAGCAACCAAAGTAGTTCTGTTTGAAGGCTAAGAAAACACTTCTCCCTCCTCCATCAATGGAAAGTGATGGAGGAAAGCTCCTCTGTGGCTTCTGACACTGGCTGATAATATTTCATTTTTATTCGAGTTTGTACCTGTATGTTTGCCGCTGGGCACAGTGGCGTAACGCCTTTAATCCAGCACTTGGGAGGCAGAGGCAGGTGGAGCTCTGTGAATCTGAGGCCAGCCTGGTCTGCACATACAGTTCTAGCCAGGGCTGCATAGTGAGAATCTGTCTCAGAAACCACACACAAAAATTAAAAAAAAGTAAAAAAGATATACTTGTCATAAACAAGAGGAAACGTGTGACGTACAGAAATACAGCCCTATAGACTTCAGACATAAAGAGTGACCCCCGAGAGATGTGTGGGGTCACCACAGGGGCCTCTGGGCCTCTCAGCAGGGTACAGAACTGTGGCTAGTTTTACAAGGGCACACGGGGAAGTTTTAAGGAAAAAGGCAAGACAATTCTTTATAGGCCTCAGGCTCCTGATACTCCCTATCCTGCCTTGCATTGGACAGAGCTGGCATGGGTTTTTGAGGTAGGATGGTATAAGCTCTTGACACAGGAAGTGGTAATAAGAGGGGGACACGTGGGTCTTGACCCTCACTGGAAACTCAGATGCCTAACGTGGTTAAGTAAGATAGGGTGGTCCCTGTCACACGGACCATCTGGACACAAGAGCTGGGGAATGGGATGCAAAAACTTCAAGTTGCAGTGAACACACTCCGACTGTGGGCCATAGTCACATGTCTCTGTGACATGAAACACAGAGACAGGTCCTAACTACACGGGGGTGTCACGCAGAAGCCTGTGACTCTGGGCTCTCCCTGGGACCAATGACATAGCAGCCTCTTTGGGGTTTCTGTTTCTGTCTACACCGAGCACCCTGGTGTGCCGTGGGGGGGGTGTGACAATCCTACCTACCAGACAGCACCGTCACTGGCTCACAGCCTGCCAGTGAAACTCCCCTCCGATCTGCACCAGCACCTCAGACAGGCCATAGAGGAAGGGGACTCCGAACGCCAGCAGCTGACACATGAAAAAGGAGTCCAGGGGGTTCTGGGCCACTTGGTCCCCAATTGAAGAAATGTTGGTTTGTAGGTGCTGGCTCATCCCCTTGGCCTTGTCACACAGGCCAAGAGAGTGATGCACCACCCAGCCAAACAAGGAAGTGAGGCTACCTGGAGTTCTCTCAGCTGAGCTGCTGGCGACGCTGGCCAGTCCGTTTGCATCTGCAGCGGGGCCATCCTGCAGGGGTCCTTTGGCTTCCTAGAAGAGTCCATGAGAGAAAAGAACAGTGACTCTGACTGCTGCACTCGAACTCAGGAGGCAATGGCCCGAGACTGCTTAGTCTGCCTGTCAGTACTGGACTGTAGTTCTTGGAGAGGAAGTCTTCATCCTCTCAGATAACAAATCTGTGATGCATTTACGTGTAGCATAAAGGCATCCTTCTGCCAACGTCAAACACTCTCTGGATGACTTAAAGTAACTGCTGTTCAGTGCAAATGGTTATTTACTATAGCGTTTAAAGGACACCTCTCCCCACCAACCCTCTGCAGTTCAAGCCAAGCTTTTCGAAAGAGCAGTAATCTGCCGAAGTGCTGTCCATGAAGAGATTACTCAGGCCACCTTGACATAACCATTCAATAACCCATTCTCATTGAAGCAGAAAAAAAAAAAGTTGAGAGCTCAGACAATAGTTCAAGGAAGCAGGGGTTAAAGGTCAGCAGATAGAGCTGACCATGAGAAGCCTGGCCTCCTTAGTATGGGAAGCAGGGGCTGGCCCTCAGATGCCTGGGGTGTGGGCCTAAGGAAAGGGAGGGATGCCTCCGGCTACAAGAAAGAGCGCTCTGGCCTCCAGGAACAGCTAGTTAGGGCAGGCATCGCCTCTGAGAGCGGCACCACTAGACGCTTGTAAACCTGGTGTGTCTGCAGCCAACTGCAGTTCCTCTCAGGCCCACTCATGGGGCAGGCAACCCTGCCGGTCCCACTCACAGGAAGGAAGCTGTTACCTTTCCAGACAGAGGAGCCACTGCCGGCCTCTTCCTTTGCGCGTAGCCAGATAGTCGGTAACAGTAGTGCGGCTTACAGTAGAACTTGCCTGCAGACAGCAAGAAGCAGGGAAAAGAGGAGTGAGCACATCTCCACAGCTGGGAACTTGGCTGGCCGGCCACAGGAGGCCACTGCATAACCCCGACCCCACACAGCTCCTGGCTCCCCCTGCAATCCAGAAAGGACAGCCCCCCAGCCTCCTTTCCCTGGGTCTCGATATGGAGGTCTTTCCTCTCGGGTGTGTGAAAGCTGTTGAGCAACCACCAATCGGTGCCCAGGGCAAAGAAGTGAGGCTTGCATGACAGAACCACCAAACAAAGTCGTAGTGTGTGGGGACAAAGACGTGGTCACATGAAAACTGCAGCAGCATTTCTGGGGAAGGCAAGATGAATACAGATGGAGGGTGGAGGCAGGAAGGCTAAAGGGCAAGGGCGGTGCCAGCCACCAACTCTGACAGAACTATCTCTGCTCTCCTCCACAACCATGGACTCCTACTCCTCTCCTCACTAGCCAGCCCTGGTCCCAGACAGCTTGCAACCCTAGAGTGCTAAAAATAACACCAGAGAGGGGCCAGAGAGATGGTATAGAGGTAAAGGGGTTAGCTGTAGATAACCTAACTTCAGTTCCTAGGACCCACGCCAAAAGCAGGACGCGGTGGTGGGAATCTGCAATCCCAGCATTCCTATGGACAGATAGGAGGCGGGACGGGAGAACTGGCCAGAGGCTTTGGGCCCGCTACCCTGGAGTATGCATTTCGGCAGCAGTAAAAAACAGCAGAAGAGACCCTGCCTTAGCAAGGTGGGTGGGGATAACTGACTCCCAAAAGTTGTTCTCTGACCGCTACACACACGTGCTCGCACATACACACTCACATAAAACAATAACAACAAAAAGTCTCCCATGGATCACGAACAGTCGGAATGAATAGAGTGAAACCCAGTGTGCCTCAACATCGTCAGGCCTAAACATGATCTGCCGGGACAGTCAGCCACGGTCAGTCTATGCGAGTTTATTGGGTCCTACTCCAGTCTGTGCCATCTCCTGAGAAGAGTGCGGCTAAAAAGGTCTGCGAGACCTACTTCCCGTCCCAACAAAGTGCGCTGGGCCGAGCTAAGTGTCAAATCACCTGAATCTCTCCCCTAATATAAGGTAGAAGAGCTCTACATTAGCCCCACCCTGAGAATGGCTGCATCAAGACCTACTTTTCCCCTGTGTCTGCCAAGAGCGACTTCAACAAAGGTAAACCCGGGAGATGGACAGATCAATGGAAACAAACGCAAGCAGCCCTTCTGCTCCTTTCCCCTTCCGGGGTGGTCTGGGAGTATCGTCCTCTACTGTGTATTCACGGCGTACACGCATTAGCTGTACAGGTGTATGTGTGTGAGTGGAAACCAGCCTGCATTCCCCTCCGCTGCTTCGGGTTTTATGGCCTTGAGATGGGTTCCTCGCAGAACTGGAAGCTCACCATTTCAGCCCTGGACCAAGGAGACCCCAGGATCTGCCTGTCTTTGTTCTCCTATGCTGAGCCTTTGTGACTGTGCTGGCTTTTTTTTTTTTATGACTCAAACTCAGATCCTTAGGCCTACAGAGCAAGTGCTCTTATACACGGAGCCATCTGCCAAACCCTATATGTTTCCTTCATTTTTTTTTAAGGTAGCTGACTTATTCCTTTATCTGTGTTTCTTATTATGTTAAGTCAGCTTTGTCAAAAACCTGAGAAAACAACTTAAAGGAAGAAATGTTTGTGTTGGCTCATGACTTCAGAGGTCCAAGGTTACTTGGTCCTATTGCTTTGGGCCTTTGGACCATGATGTCTTGCTGATGAGGGGAAAGAGATGCTCCCTTCAAGATGGCAAGAAGCAGAGAAAGCATGGGGCAGAGGCCAGGGACAAGGTACATCCTGTGACTACAGTTTTCTTTCTTTCTTCTTTCCTTTTTTCTTTCTTTCTCTCTCTCTTTCCTTTCTTTCTCTCTCTCTTTCCTTTCTTTCTTTTATTTTTTTTAAGATTTATTTATTTATTATTTATACATTATTCTGCCTGCATGTACATGCCAGAAGAGCACAGGATCTCATTATAGATGGTTGTGAGCCACCATGTGGTTGCTAGGAATTGAACTCAGGACCTTTGGTAGAACAGCCAGTGCTCTTAACCTCTGAGCAATCTCTCCAGCCCCCTTCCTTTCTTTCTTTCTCTCTCTCCTTCCTTCCTTCTTTCTTCTTTTTCTTTCCTTCCTTTTCTCTCTCTTTCTTTCTTTCCTTCCTTCTTTCTTTCTTTCCTTCTTTTTCTTTCTTCCTTCTTTCTTTTTCTTTCTTCCTTTTTTCCTTTCTTCTTTCTCTCTCTCTCTCTCTCTTTCCTATACAGGGTTTCTCTGTGTGTAACCTTGGCTGTCCTGGACTCACTTTTTAGACCATGCTGGCCTCGAACTCAGATATTCCTGCCTCTGCTTCCCTGAGTGCTGGGGTTATAGGCGTGAGCCACCAGGCCTGGATGTCACTACAGTTTAACAGGTTCCACATCCTTAAGTTTCCGTCACTAACCAATAATGCAATTAACTTGTTCATCCATCTGTGGGTTAACCCATTGATGAAGTTAGAGCCCTATTGGGCCAGCGGCCTTCCAAAAACCCACTGGGTAGTGACTGAGTCCCTAAAGATACCTGTACCTGGATACTTCAGATTTAAAGCTAGTGGTGGAAAAAAGTCATAAAGAATTTCATGATAGGTCATGTTTCCCCAAACAGGTTTCTCACCAGCTGCTGGCATTCAGCCAGGACTTAGAGACCTGGCTCTGTGGGAACACATGACCGGCAAGGGTCAGCTCACCGTCTGCTTCTCTACGGGTGAGCAGAGTTGATTCACGTGTTTTTTGTTTTCCTTTTGTTTGTTTTGTTTTTAGTTTATCCACCTCTCCTTTCATATAATCTGCAATAGGCCACTCTGTTCTTTTGGAGTTTTGTCCCCAATAAATAAAAAATAAAATACTTTAGTGCCTGGATGATCGACTACGTTTTGGGTCGGCTTTATGTTTCCTTCTCTAAGAAATAACCGTCCCCCTTCATGGGACTGTGATGGGACTATGACAGAAGACACTGGACTAAAGTTGACAACCACAGCTACCTCGGGACCTATTCCCCAGGACTGGCATGTGACTGAGGCCAGGTTGGCCATGGCCCTGATGGGTGATTGCTGTGACCTTGAAGGAAGGAAGTGTAACCCTAGAACTTACACGTTAGTCTGATTTGGGTTTTATCATAAAACCTGTTTATTTTTTAATATCTTTAAAAATTTCACATTTTTAAAATTTATGTGTCTCACTGTATGCCTGTGCCTGTCTGTGTGTCTGCGCATGTGCCTGTAGGTAGGCATGGGTGGGCACATGTGGAGATCAATGAACAACAGGAATTGGTTCTCTGCTTCCATAGGTGGGTCCCGAGCACTTGACCTCAAGCGCCTTCACCTGCTGAGCCATCTCACTGGCCTGAGGCTTCCAGGGAGAGAACACTAGTTACTCATTACTGCATTCTTTGTATTTTTTTCTTCTAAGCTAGAAACCGAGACCATAAACCCTGACTCCCAGCTGCGCAGCCCTGGATCCTGCTGCATATGGTAACAAAATACAAGGGTTTAAGCTTCAGAAACAAGGCTCAGACCTAGCCAAAAGGTGACTTCCAAGAGCAGTCCAGAGAGCAGAACGTGACGCAAGAGCACAGCTGAAGTAAGATCTCAGTTTAAGCGCCATGCCACCCTTCAGTCCTGTCAGCCACAGGGAGGGGACAGGACTCTCACCTTGTCCGGTGAGATAGTTCTCTGTCACTGGCATGAGCTGTGTGTGCTCTGTTAATCATTAATGCTTCTTTCTCTTTTGAAGGTACGGATTCATGTAGCCCACCCTGACCTTGAACCTCTGGTCTTCCTGCCTCCACCTTTCACGTGCTGGGATTATAGGAGTGTGCCACTCTAGCCACTCAAAAAGAACACTCTAATTTTTATCTAACATTTACTATGTGCCAGATACAATTCTGACCACTTTGCATCTATCCATTCATTTTGTGCTCACACAACATTGGTGAGGCACAGCCTGGCTTAGCTGCCCAAGTTTCCCAGTCACGGCATCTCAGGCAGGAGACCGGCTCCAGAGCCTACACTGTCTGCCACTGCACTGTGGCTCCTGTCTCAGGAAAGCCAGCCAGGCTGACATTGTAGATTAATCACAACTAACAGGAGATTGTTAGATTAAGCAATTTTTTTGTTTTGTTTTGTTTTGTTGTTGTTTTTTGAGACAGGGTTTCTCTGTGTAGCCTTGGCTGTCCTGGACTCGCTTTGTAGCCCAGGCTGGCTTCAAACTCACAGAGATCCTCCTGCCTCTGTCTCCCTGAGTGCTGGGATTACAGGCATGTGCCACTGCGCCCTGGATTAAGCAATCTGGACAATCAAACTGAGTGACTGGAAAGGGAGGACACAGGTGTGTGTCAGGCAGGCCCAGTGTGAACTGGCATTTATTCAACTGTTTGAGAGTGTCATTAATGATGTGGGCAACATGGACGCTGGGTCTCCTTCAAAGCAGATGAGTACTTTAGTTGGAGAGAGCAGAAGACATGTGGCTTAGCAGGGAAGAGCAGTAAACACCTCGGGCACAACTGTGGGGCAGGGTGGTGGTGGTGGTGGTGTAACTGGAACTCTGGGGCTACTTCAGAAGTCTGGAGAGACCTATGGGGAGAGGATGTGGGGACAGGAAGGCCAGGAAGACCATCTCAACATGACTAGGAAAGTATGTTCTAGGAAGGGGACGCTCAGTCAAGATCCTTGGGGGATGAAAATGAGATCCGTGTGCTTTGCCTCACATGAACTGTGTGTACCATTCCCACCGAGCGTGCCAGCCCATGTGTTAAATAAAGGCCTGGGTCTTCAGCTGCTGGGAAAAGTTAGGTCATTAGGGATTTGCCTGGAAAGGGACTGTGGGACTCTGGCTCCTTCTTGTCTCTCTTTGGCTTCTGGGTAATGGGGTGAGCACCTCTCTGTTGTACACTCCCGCCACAGGCTGCCTTGTCACAGCCACAGAGCAGAAGACCAAGGGTCATGGACTAAAACCTTCAAATCTGTGAGCCAAAATGAAGCTCTGTTTTTGTTTGGTTTTTTTGTTTTGTTTTGTTTTTTAATATATATTAAGAGGCACACTTACACTGCATCTATGCTCTGAAGAGAAGGAGGTGAAGGTGAGTGTGTCTCTATGGGCAAAACCATGGCCATGGCCAGACCCTGAGGGGTCTTCTTTGCAGGCGCACTCTAAGGTAAAAGGCTAACTAAAGCGACCTACGTATCAGAGACAGTTCTAAGAGGTGGGCGCCGACCCCTCTCCTTGGGTAAGAGCATGGGTGACAGTGGAAGCAAAAACCCGGTGCTAACATCTTACCTTCCTCGGGCGGGCAACCCTTTCAGGTCTCCACTCAGCGGCGTCTCTGCTAATGTGGGAAGAGCTCACCGCTTAACTCCTGCCTTCTCTTTGTGACTGAGCGGCGGCTGTCTGAGCTCCACTACTAGGAGGGTCTGGGTGATAGGAGTGACGTCATTGCATGGGCTCCCTCCGGTTTCTGGTCTCTTTACAGTCAATATACCACCCACTGAGACGTGGGCTTAGTAGCATCCCGATAAGGACCTAGTTTCCTCTTCTACTTAACTTGGTTTCTCTATGACTTTTAAACCAATTAAATCACCTCCCACTAATCCCTAGCATTTTGCAGGGATGGCCACAAAGGTCATAAATGCCTTTGGCCACCTATTTCCATCCCTTTAAAAACTTCAGACTCGGTGGTGGTGGTGGCGCATGCCTTTAATGCCAGCACTTAGGAGGCGGAGGCAGGGGGCTAGTCTGAAGCCAGCCTGGCCTACAGAGCAAATTCTAGAACAGCCAGGGCTACAGAGAGAAACACTGTCTCGAAAAACCAAACCAAACCAAACCAAACCAAACCAAACCCAAAAAAGAATCTTCAGAAGACCGTTGGCTGTTATCGGCATGCATCTCCACTGTTTAGCTAAGGTCTTTCCACAGTTAAACCAGCAGACCTGGGCCCCATGAGGTGCTGAGGCGGGGGTGGGGGGGGAGGTGACAAAGCTTGGGCATTTCAATCTGCTCCATAAGGCCTGGGATTTATTTTTGGTTGCTGTCATCAACCTCAGGCAGGAAACACGAGTTCTAGGAACCCTCACCATGCCCCTTTTAGTCACCAGAGTCTCATGTGAGCAAGAAAGTAAGTGTGTGAAGGGCGGGAGACGACGTGGATGCCACCACTCTCATCACCTCCTTGCTGAGCAGAGCTGTTAACAGTCTGGCGACCGGAAAACCCTTTTTAAAGAGTCTCGGAATGAAAATCAAATGGAAGAGACGGCCGAGAAGGGCTGGTATGGAGAAAACGGTGAGAGGAATGAATGCAGCCAGGACTCAGAGGTCTTTGGCTCGGAGGAGGCAGGAGGAGGCAGGTGGCGCCGCCCTCAGCTGGCAACTTGACAAACGTGCGGAATGACTCACCGTCCTCAAGGTCGTAGGCGTAGGCCGAGAGGCGCAGCGTGGTGGCGCAGTACTCGCACTTGAAGCAACTGCGGTGAAAGAACTTGCCCTCGGCGCTCAGCCTCTCCATCACGTAGACCCGCTTTTGGCAGAAATAGCACGTGTCGCTGCCCCCCAGGTTCTGTGGGAACTCCTTCTTTATGGAGCCCTGCGGGGGTGGGTAGAAGAGGGGCACATCAGACTCTGGGGCTTCTCTCAGGGCCGGGCAAGCCCTCTGGGGGTGAAGATGAGTCGGGTCACACGGACGCAGACCGTGGGTACTCAACGACTATACGTGCTCTATTTATGGCTTTTCCAAAGACCAGCTCTCAGAGTAAGCAGCTTCACTGCACAAAGCCCCTTCCCGAGGACCCTCAGGATGAGCTGGGGTCTAAACTGTGAAGATCAACAACCAGGAGGTACCTTAGAGGAAGGGATCTGAGTTTTCAGAACTTCGTAACACTCAAAACAACTACTCTGCCAGAGTTTTGCTTCAGGGATAGAATCAATATATAATATACTTGGTGTTTGTGTGCACACACACACATGTGCGAATTCCCGAATACTGGAGGGGCCATCTTTAAGGAGAAGAGTGCTTTTCCACAGAACATCCTAAGTATCTACCACAGTCCTAGAAATTCAGTCTTCAAAAGTGAGACTACCTCAAGAAAGCGCCCACGTGGTAATCCAGTGGCTACAGAAAGCATAAGCCCTCAAAGCAGGCGAGGGCTGTTCGCCGCGGTGCCATGGCTAGAGACAGTGCCCCTGGGATATCTCTTACCAGTTCCTTCTTGTCTAGAAGGGTTTTAGGCTGATCTTTCCTTTGAAGCTGATTGGCTATCTGCTCAGCCAATGAGCTCACGCCGCCCGTGTACATCTTTATATACTTCTATTGGTTGGAGGTTACACAATGACCAAAGAGAAGGGAAATGAGAAGGAAAAATAAATAAATTAAGGAGACAGGAAAAAAAAAATCTTTGAGAGGTGCCAAATGAATACACAGTGCAAACAGCAAACCATGCCAACACAGTGCCCACAAGCAGAAACTGGGCAGTGAGCCAACACTGCCAGGGTCCACGCGGTGGTCAGCACACACTGAGCAGTGGCAGTGGGCACATTCTTCCACAGGGAATGACTGGGTTTTTCCAAAAGTCCAGTTCTGGGGATTTGTGGTGGTGGTAAGAAGACAAGATGGAAGTAAATGTTGGAGAGTGAGAGGCCTGAATCCTGGGCGCCCACAGAGTTTGAGGGTGAACTCCCAGCAGGTGACTACGGTGTCAAAAGCTAGGACAGGGCCCCATGGGCTCTGCGAATAAGGTGAGTGCTTCAGGCTGGGAGAGAAACCAGGCAGATTCTTGCTCAGGCTGATGGCCCGTGTGGGCAACACAGAGTTCTGGCATTGCGGGTGACTCCCTGCCCCTCAATCCGACCCACAGCGCCTGCTCCATTAGGCAGACCATCTGGATCTGGCTGGGGGCCGGGGCTGGAGAACAGAAAGGCAATGCTCATCTACCCAAATGTGGAGGCTGGACAGTGGGACACCAAGGCATAGGCTATACCCCGAAGGAGGCTGCTCATTTTGACCCCAGGAAATCAGGAGGTTTCTGGCCCCGGAGGAATTGATTTGGAAGTTGAACAATGGCAAAAGAAGACAAAAATCCAAAGCACACATCTGTGCACACAAAGCACACAAGCTTGGCACTCAGGAGCCTAAGGCAGGAGGACTGCCATGAGTTCGAGGCTAGCCTGGACTACTTACTGAGGCAGTCTACCCCTATTCCCCAACACACACAATCAAATTAATGCAACCCCACTTTTCGCAACGCTGAAGAAACAAATAGGAGACACGAGCATGTCTGCATGCTGAACCACCATGCCCACAGAGGCCTGGCACCCGTGCCCACAGAGGCCTGGCACGCTATCCTGGGACTATCATCAGTCTTGTGGGCAGTCTTTCAGAGACCTGATAGCTAGGATTCTGGGTAACCACAGTGTGTGCTGCACCTCTCCCAGCAGGAAGGGAGGCTCCCAGGCAAGTGGGAAAGGTTATCACTAATTCGGATGGCAGAATTACAGAGGGTACAGTTATTCCAGGGAGCCCATCAACCCACTAGGGAGTGGCTTCAAGGGACAAACCTGTAAAGCCATGTAAAAGGGCTGCTGGCCCAAGCGGCAATGTGCCCAGGCTCCCTGGAGACAGCTCTGTAAGTGTGGGAACAGACACACTTGAGGAAACACTTCTCGCCAGGCTCAGCCAAGGCCTGGCTGGAACTGAGCAATTTCATTTTCCAACTCAACCACAGAGACTTCTTAGGAGCAGCTTCACCTGCCAGTACTTCCACAGATTATGTCCCTCAGCGAGTGATTAGGGGCCTGGAGATGCACACATTTGCGACAGGCAGGCACCAGGTAGAGGAGAGCAGAATGAGAGCCAAGCTCTTGTCTAAAATAAAAAAAGTCGAGTTTTCTTCATTCTGCGGAGCAGATGGCAAAGTGCCCAGCGCACTGCAGCCCTAGCCCCACTTTGTGCAGCCACAGCCCTACTGTGTGCGCCCAGGACCCTTCTCTCACGACCAGAGACTATCTCTTCAGCCATGGCCTGGGGCTGCACACACAGTAGCAACACGGACAAGCATCCCCAGAGCTCAAGACTTAAGTTGTTTGTTTCTGGCATGAAAAGCAGCTGGGTTTCTTCTTCCTGCTCCCAGAAGGGAGTCGGAGTGTAGCGCTGGCTGGGCTCACACCACTGCACGCCACACACATGCAAATGCTTCCGCACATGTACAAACTGGCTAATCCAAAGCAAAGACAAAGGCAACAGACCCTCTGGTCCCTAACAAATTCTTTGGAACTGGACAGAAGCCATGGGGGGTGGGGGGGAAGCAGGGTTCATTCCACACACGATTACAAGCACCAAGAGTGTTGTGTGCTCGCTCTTTTACTAGAGAATTAGTGACGGCATGGTTCAAATTCTGTAGCACGTGAAAACAGTCTTCAGTCAGAGGTTGGAAAAAAAATGTTATCAGTATCGGACACAGCTTAACAGTGGGTTCACCCTGACAGGCTGTGGTGTGTGAAACACTCAGAGAAAGCTAGCAGACACAGACACAGACACACAGACACACACAGACACACACACACACACACACACACACACAGACACACACAGACACACACACACACACACACACACACACACACACACACACACACACAGCTTCAGGAAGAGCCAGGCAAAGGCGGAAGACCTCCTAGCCTCCCTCAGGTGGGTGATGCCTGTGAAAGTAGAGTGAGCAGAGGCTGCAGAACACAGTTTTGTCAAGTCCAGGGCATGCTACCTGTCGAAGGGAGTCAGAGGAGGGAGAGGCAGGGCGGGAGGAACGGAGGCTAAGGGAGAGCTCCCACTGGTCAACAAAAAATCGACGTGAAGGCTCAGGCTCTGGCTATAAGATACAAGGTGGAGAAAAAGAGCATAGTAAATGTTAGAAGTCATACCTCAAGCACAGGACATTTGAGTTTCAGACAGTTTTGCTCTTTAGCTGTGGAATGTATGTGGGAAATAAAAGCAGGCCTTCCAATTCCCAGAAACGAATGGGCTTCATCTATGGCTCCCATCTACTGCCCAATTGCTCCTCCTCAGTGCTTATAGCTAGGCTGGCTCTGGAGCATGGCTCCCTGCTCTGAGCACCTGGGTGTGGTGTGCCTTCTAGGTTCACTCTCTTGTGCAGCTATCATTGCTACTAGACACGTGACACTGGCTTCTCCCAGAATCTGTGCAGGGATTGCCCCATGGCAGAGAGCTCTCACACCCATTCTAGTTCTCTCCTGACAGTGCAAAGAGGAGGACTGGGACCACACTGTACTTTGCTATTCAGGGCATGTCCTTGTCTTGTGGACAGTGCCCAATGCCTTCTCCCCTCCCATGGCCAGAGCTCAGAGAAGCTCCATCTACCATCAGTGTTCAGGGCAGCTCTGCTTGCTAAGAGGCCAAACAGCAAGTACGATCCAGGGACTAGATCTAAATTCAAATTCCCCTTGTCTTCCTTAGGCTGGCCTCAGCTGGTGCAACAATCGTGGCCAGCGTCTATCCTCAGCACTGGAGATCTGGTGCACACCCATTTTAGTTGACATTTCCAGTGTCATGGCAGTGACAAGGTAGAGCAGACAGGCAGACAGGCATCTGGGAATTCCCCACCCTCTGCTCCAGAGGACCAGGCAGCTTCCTAGCCCTGAGGCTAGCACTCAGATAGTGTCAATCATCTGAACCCAGGACAAGGAGCAACAATCCCCGTGGATGAGTATCATTCACCAATAGGAACAAGATGACCCACTGCCCTGCTGGAATGTGGAACAGTCGGAGTGGGGGAAGTGAGTGAAGGTTAGCTTCAGAGAGTGCGGCAGTCAGGAGCCCTGGCTACAGAGCTCGGAGACGTCCTGAAAAAGAAGGCAGGTGGTGCCCCCAGTATCTGGCCTGGGCCCCGCACTGAGGAAGCCATAAACATCAAATTCCGGGAAAGAGAAAAGCCCCTGCATGCAGGATTGCTGCTTGTGCTATACTCTCCCCGCTGGGTACCTCCTCTCTCCGATTGGGCACTACAGTCCTGGATCGCACACAGCTCCTGGCCAAGCTTCCTTTTACTCAACAGTACTTCCTCGATTCCTTTTCAGATGTTGTTTATTGAAAACCATCAACACCTCATTAAGGATGCATTCTCCAGAACATAGGGCACTACCCCGCCCCCTACTGTGGTAGAGTCTGGGAAGAAGGAAGAGGCTGTGTGCATGGCCCAGACACCAACTCTCCTACCAAGCAGCAGTGAAAACAGGGACAGGGAGGGGAGGAGGAGAACTGCCTCTGCCTCCATCTCAACTCTTCTGTCTAACCCTGTCCTGCTGGCAGTTTGGTCCAAGGGTGGAGGAGACGGTGCTAGCATCTGTTTCCTAGTGGGCCCAAGATGTGATCTGACTTGCACTTGGTCCTCAGGGCAGGAGGAAGGCATCTGTGAAATCATCACGAGCTGAAAGACAGCAGCCCACTGGAGATGTTTAAGGACACGATCAATGTAAAAACATTTATAAGGGCTGGAGAGATGGCTCAGCGGTTAAGAGCACTGACTGCTCTTCCAGAGGTCCTGAGTTCAATTCTCAGCAACCACATGGTGGCTCACA